ATGAGAATTCCACTTTCTTGTTAGATCTCTTTGTGAGTTCTTGAGAGGAGAAACCCTTGGTGGGTAAAAGCAATACCCGTCAATTTTGGTGGATTCCAAGGTTCGCAATTCTTCAATTTCTTTTTTTATTTTTCTCTTCCCTTGTATCATTTGCCCTCTCCTAAACTCCCCACCGCCGGCATCACCCCCTCAAACTTCTTTTGGAAAAACCCGAGCCCTTCCCACCTTTGTCGTCGGCCTCCTTGGGCCGCCCAAGCCGCCTAATATTTCCCCCACCCACCGGCCGGCCATCTAGCCGCCGGCCTCCAACCCTCCACCCGCCGGCCCATCTTTCCCCCAAGCCTACGCATTTGAAATTCAAATTTCAAAGAGGCATTAATTGTTTTCCTAAATTAAGTCCAAGAACTTAGGAAAGTTATTTAACTGAATTTCAATTCAAATTTGAAATTCAAAAAGCTTTCCAAATACTATAACTTAATTTTGGAAACCCCTCTTTGGAACAAAATCTGAATTGTAATTCATATTTTCTTTAATGCTTTGAATATTGTTTGGGCCCCACTTAATTAATCATAATTCCCCTTCCCTCTCTCTATTTGGTCGGCCCCCTTCATTGGGCTTTTCTCTCTCTTATTGCATTAATTGCTCCTCATTTACTCTCCCCCTAATCCCTCATAAACCGCCGGCCCCACCCAATGATGGAATTAATTTGATTTTCAAATTAATTCCCCCCATCCCACCTAATTAGAAATCAAATTCATATTTCTAAATGTTTCTTCCAATCCCCAATCCCCTCCTCCCTTGCCGCTCCTAGTCTTTAATGGATTAATTTGAATTTCAAATTAATTTCCTCCAATTTCACTTAACCTGAATTTAATTTCAGTTTTCTAAATTTCCCCAAGCATTATCCCACGATTTCTCCATGTTCTCCTGAGATTATTGCTGCCAGTTTTTGTTTCCAGCAGAAGGATCCTGCTGTTCTATGCCTCGGAAGTCCATCTGCTAGGGTGCCAAGCACCCAAGACCAAATAGAAGCAGTCCAAGTTGTTTCCCAACAGTACGGGTTTCTGTCCAGGGAAAACCTGCACATGTTTCTTGCTGTCCAGCCTATTGAAAGGTCTTCAAACGCTGCCCGGATGTTTCAAATTGCTGACCACAACTTCAAGAAGGTTCTTGGATGCCGCCTACTTCTTTTCAAGCCCTCCAACATCCACCAGAACTTCGTATCTTCCAATTATTTGGAGCCATCTCTCCAACTCCGAACGATCACCCGTCTCTCCAACTCCGGCCAACTCTCTGTTGATCACAACCGCCGACATCCTTTGTCTTTCAATGGCATCACTGGGCTTGCTAACCTTCGTCCTTATCTAACCCTACTTCCAAAGAGCGATCGAGAGATGGAAACTCAAAGGTGAAAGTTCTAATTGTTACGTGGCGGATTATCGTTAACTGCATGTTTGTTTTACTATTTTATTGTTATTATTTTGAATTGTCCTGTTAATCTAACGTGTAACTGCATGCTTAAAGCAAGTCAATAATCACGAAAACTAAAAGTCCTAACTTAGTGAAACATTAATCCTATGATTTCATTGCTAAAACAAATTTCTTGATAAAATCCTGCAATTCCGTTGATTGTTTCACATCACAAGGTACTTCAAAAAGCATTCTGTATCAAGCTCATTTAGATACAAACACACCTTCCACGCACCTCTATACATGTTTGACACACTAAAAAACGTGCTTGGCATGCCTTTTAAAAAAAATTAGTGAGAAACACAGCCTATACATTCTTGACATGGATGAGACATGTTCAAGTTGTTTCTAGTTCAGTAAATTTCAAGTTCCTGTTGAGCAATTAATGAATGTCTTGGTGCCAAGTATGTTGGTCCAATTAGTGATACATTAATGTCCTTATAAATTATGTGATTATTTTGAAGATTATACTCTAATTTTTATGTTTTTGCATCTTTTTTAGGCAATGTAACGTTGATTTCGACAAACTCATGTCCAAATAATTGAGGCTAACGCTACCAGCCTACCAATTATATACTCTTTGTGAATAGTAAAATATTATTATAACAGTTTACCACCCATTTTGAATAGATTGAACCACAACTTAAGTGGTTATGAGTCCCTAAACTAATTGATTGCACATTAACAAAGCAAAAAACTAGACTTGGATTCAGTATACCGTTAGACGGTCTAGAAATCTCTAGTACGGGCTTTTTTTGTTGTGAATCTTAAATCTAGTCTGCACAAATTTACGTGGACCCATAGAAGGCGATTGGAGGTTTGATTGGATCTAAATTTAGTTGAGTTTCTAGACCCAAAGCCTTGTTCATAGTGAATCCTTTACTTAAACTTGACTTGAGCATTGATGGTGTCTCCCATTATTAAATCATATGATTTGACCCAAGCAGTGGAATAAATAAACTACACCAATGCTATACCTAGGTTTTCCAACAAACCCTATCGAACTAACCAAGCCCTAGCCTACTAGGCTAACTTGACCCCAACCTAATTGGCCTAGGTAGGCCCTATCTAACCCTAATTAGTTTGATCTAGGCACACCATAGGCTCGACCAACCTAATTTAATCTAAGTTAGCCTAAACCAAATGTAGACCTAATTGACCAATTGAGTCAATTGAATGAGTTTAACCAACCAAATCCCAAATAGATGGACCCTAAGCCGTTATAGAATCTAGGTTGACCCCAAAATGGTTAACCTGGCACAATGACCCAACTAAACATTAACCTAACATAGACCCAATGAAGGACCTCAATTCAATTAACTTAGCTAGGCCCTAACTTGCATAATTGACTTAATCTAGACCTCCCAAGGATCTAAACAAAGGCTTGATGATTAAGTTGACCAAATCTAGTTTGGTTTAGCACAAACACTATCCAATTACCCAATTGACCTAATTGGTTCAAATCAGCCCAACCAATAATGTTGGTCGAACCATTCATTATCTCAAGACACAAGCTTACCTTAGATGCTGATCTTGTTTGATTGACCAACCCAAGACCCATGGCTAGCTTAACTCCAGCCCAATCCTAGCAATCAAGGGCCTAGGACCTTAATTAAGTTAAGCTAGCACCCAAGCTCCTAACAAGAGTCCTTGGTAGTCTTTTGAACTCGTTATAGTCTTTGGTGCACCTAGCTTGAACAATTCTTGAAGCTAAGACTCAATCCAAACCTAAGATCAACCACTGCTCTCTTCATTTAGCCATTAGCTCACCTCACAGATTAAAAACAATCCTAGCTTGGCCAAGGACCTCCTTTAGGTATGTTTGAGCCTTTTGTTAGTTATAAATAGCCTTTGACAGCTCCCTAAACCCAAGCAACCCCCTTGAGCTCAATCATGCAATTGGCATCGACACCCGGACCTCATCCTATATAAAACTTGAGGAACTTTCCTAACAAGGCTACAAACCCACGCCCGACACTCCCTAGCCTTCTCAAGCGCCATAGAGTCCTACCCATGAAGTCATGTTTAATAACACAGGTATTATTTGAGGTTATGGTGGCGATTCATGCAATACTAAGACAAGAGAAAGGTGTAGATGTCTATGTAAGTACCAGAAGCTTCCAATCCATTGACAAGAAATGACCATGATTTCCCCTCTAAAAGTCCGCCCATACAAGGGTTTTTTAGAGGTAGAAGACATCATATCATTAGATCTACGACATCTTGATCCGAAGATTATGATGTTATCAAATGAGAGAGTTTTTATAGTGATTTCCACTTCGAAATGATCAAATACATATTCACCTAACTCTCAACCATTTGATCAGCGATTAACAACTAAGGTCTACAATAGATTGAGTTCCCTTAGACCCATGGTCCCCAAGGCCATGCCAACACCAATCAAAGCCTACTACATATGTAGCCAATCATGAGGACATGCTTCATAATCACTAAAGAGTGTCTTTGAGTCAGCTGATTGGAATCGAAGGGTTGAGATACAACCAGCTAGCTACTAAATCAATTACTAAATAGGATAATAAGGATAGATATTAATTCTAAATGTTTATAACTTGATTTTTTTTATAAATTCATAAATAAGGAAAATTTATAAAATATATGAAACAAATTATAATAATTCAAGAAAAATAAACTTTATTTTTTATAAAATTAAATTCTATCTCACAAGATAGTACATTCATCTCCCATGAATGCTCTTTTAAAGCTGACAGTAATCAAATTAATATTAGATTTTTTTTCTTTTTTGTTGATCCTTAAGCCTTTTATGCAATATAAATAATAGTATACTTCATTTTATGATTCTTTTGTATATAAAATATTGATAGTAGTGGTTTTGAGTGCTAATCTTATATTAGTAAATCATAAAATAAAACATTATGTCCATCGTGTGGAATGCTCTACTTTTATGGTTGTCATGTCCACATATCTCATGTTTGCATTTGTACTTTCATAGATTTAAACTAAAGTTAAGTAAAACATTTAATCTGGTAAACGGATATAGCGTGATGCAAGTCAAAGCATGGAAATAAACTTAAAAGTGAGTAATACATGGCAAGGAAAAAAGAATAATAATAAAAAATAGATGAATTCAAGACTGATAAAGAAATTTTGTGGCCAGCACTGAGAACAGAACCTAATAAATTGGATGCAAGATATCCAAGTTGCCATTGGAAATGCCCAAACATAAAACATGCTTATGTGATGTAGACAAAGATAAGTTTCCAAAGCCCACTTTGGCACTCTCGGAATATTTCTATAATTCATAATATCCTCAATCTTATCAATCTTAAGAAAGTGCCATTGCGGGCTTTGGCGTGTTCAAATTCAACAACTTTGGCATTGATCATACAAAAATGACCAATAACACCATCAGAGGTGAATAACTTGAGTTCATGCCTTGGTTAAACTAACATAAGGGATTTAATATCAGATGTTAATTACTGTCTTAGAAGACTTGTGAAGTCATAGTTCAAAACTATTTTACTCCAATACAAAACGGAGTTACAACTAACCACTGTAGCGACCCATCAGCTTGACAACACCTATTCCATGTTCAACACTCCCAGCTTCAACATGTGCTGCATTAATAGCCCGTTGAGCCTCTTCAACGGCAGTATCAAAACCAAATGATTTGTCAATTACCTAATCCAAAACATCAAAATTATGCAAATAAATAATTACCCAACGAAGTCCTGAAAAGAATGCAATTTGTGAGAGAAAAGTACCGCTATGTCATTATCAATTGTCTTGGGGATGCCAACAACAGAAACTTTGAGACCGCGCCTTCTAATTTCCTGCACATTCTCTTAGATTAAGTAGACATGAATAGGGTGTAAATTGAGCTGTCTGCCCATAAAACCGCCAAGTTAATCCATCATGGGTTTAAATGAATACACTTAAATAGACTCCAAACTCAAATAAGATTACAGTTCAGAGCTAGTTTAACTAAGAGGGTTTGCCCTAAAAAAGACATGAGAAAGGCTCCTTGATGAGGAATCAAAATGCAACAAGTTCATAAACTCCTTTGATACTCCAGTAAAACTGACTGAATGCAATTTGATTAAATAGATGGTTCTAATATAGTTCTCTATGTTTTCTTTCTTCAATAGATTATTTTCAAGATCTTCATTAAAATGTACATTTCTTGAATTATGAACCTTTTATACTGGTATAATTTATAAAATGCTGCTCTTGAAAACATGATCATTCTCACTGTAATTTGAGTTTGAAAGGTGATTCAACTGTAGAAGTCTAGCATAATTGTGTAAGGATTTTGAAATGAGGGATGTAATGAATAGGATATCACTTATTCAAAAATTTTATTTACTGTAAATAATCCATTCATTTAAGAGACAATATTTGTGTGGCATAAAATTGCACTTAGCCAAAATTATGAGTAATTGATTTGTAAATAATCCTTTAAATTAAAAGCTATTCGCAATATATATTTATATGTAAAATAAATTTACAACACATATGATAGAAAGCTTTTTTGTTAAAAAACCTCATTACAGTCATGTGCATTTTGATCATTAAGCTGCATGCTCAGGACATTATATGGCTTTAAAAAAGCCTAAATAGGCTAACTGTATAACGTACTGACATGCCAGTATATATTTGTAATAGCCCGTGCAATAAAAGGGTTAGCCCTCTCCAGATAATTTTGTGAAGGCTTTAACGGGCATGGGTTGGTCCAGGATCTCATTGGCCTAATTGGCAGCCAAATGAAGGACTCGCTCCCTTATGAGATCTTCAACCAATAAAAAATTGCTTTCATAAAAACTCAGGGAGACATGTAGATTAACAGTAGATAGCTCTTGCAAATGTTTTCATTTTTGCAATTTCTACCACAGTGATGATTGGAAGAAGAAAAAAAAACCTACAAATAGGAGGGAATTGAAAAGGAGACCAGGAACATTCTTTGAATACCTGAAAAATAACCGAGGCCCCCTTCTGAGTTCCATCCCCTCCTATAATGTAGACCTGAGGATGTAAGTACACATAAACAACCAGCTTCAAGGCTACAATCTTCTTTGCGGTCATATATAGGATCATAAGAACTAGTGAGATACTGTGATTATTTCAACTAAACCTGATTGATCCGACGGTCTTGAATGCTATCAACTATCTTTGATGTGTCATGGCCTCCTCGTGATGTTCCTAGTATAGTGCCTCCCCTTTTATGAATATCATTCACACTTTTAGGCGTCAATTGAACGGTATTGCGAGCATAGAAACCCTTATATCCACCCTGAAAATGGAAATCTTCATGTTAATAAATGTTAAAAAAACATATCCATTAGCCTTATAACACCTATTTTGGGTCAACTTTAATGAATCTTCATTTAGCATTTGATTCTAGTAAGTAATAAGTTAAGTATTAACTCTATTCTCCACAAATTATTTGAATAAATTCTATTAATGTGACATGAGATCTACCCATTTTCCTTTCAAATGCTCCAACACTAATTTATCCATATGTATAATGATGCATTTTCACTTGTAATTGTATATGTTCAAACTACTTAAGTCTGTTATCAACCACCTTATCTTCAATAAATATCATTCCAACTATTTATCCAATATAATCATTCTTTAATTTGTCATTCTTAATTTGATCACTCATCCCTCTTCATATTCTCACTTCTACCACACGCAACTTAACTATTAATTATATTTTACTTCCCAACACATCCCTCTCAATATACTCATTTCCATCATGATTAACTTGGCTATTAATGATATTTTTGCTTCCCAACACTCATAGCCAAACAACATAGCAAACATAATAAAATAGTCATCCTGATAATAGTTCTATTAAACTTACCATCGATCATCCATAAAATTCTCTTATCGCATAACAAAATGTAAATAAAAAGGGAAAGAAACATAGTTATCAAGCATAAAAGATTTCCAATAGTTGAATAAGCCTAATGAAATAGAGGAATGTAAAATTCTGAAACCAGACTAGCTCAAAAGATGCACTGGATAATAGAACGCTCGCTGATTCTACTTTCATAGCATTAGACAGGGTATATTTCAGCGGATTATATGGTGAGAAGAATTGAATCAGGGTAAGTTACTAATTTTGAATGAAGCTATTGTTTTTATTGTTAAAATATCAACGTTCTCCATGTCCAAGGAGCTGATGTATGATTATTCAATTACTTTGCATGGAAAGTTATCTTAATAACAAGGGTAAATAAAAATGTAGAAGCATAACACAGTACCAAAGAAGAAATACTAAATCTTCATGTGTATCTTACTGACCAATTCAATTGATAGAGAAAAAAAAATTGTTGCAGGAAGCACAAGATAAACAAGATCATAAACAAAACACCATGAGAGGTAATGATTGGAATTCATTTCTAATTTAGGAAGGGCTAAAGTGTGATTGATACAAAATCCATATTACAGGTTATTCTTACAGGTATACCATGTTCCATTATTATAAATTTAATATCAACTTCTGAATGCATCTACAGTAGAATATAAAAGTAAGGAGCTCCTAACAAAGAAAGAGCAGAAACATGAACTTTATGGATCTTAGCAGGGACACTGGTATTCTCACCTCTATGCCAAGGATCCTGGAAACACCATACATATGAGACAAGCCACAAACTAATTCCCTAATAACTGTATTAAGCCCTGGGCAGAGTCCACCACAGGTTACAATGCAAGCATGCACCTCATCTGATTCAAAATAAACCTGACCAAATCCATATTCCAATATCTCCCATTAGTCAGTCAAAAATAATTTATAATTAACGCGAGAAGCATTAAGTGCACACGGTCTACCTTTTGACGAGGCCCAGCACGTCGAAAATGAGTCCCTCTAGGACTACTTTTGTGGACGACAATCTAAAAAACAGATAAGTAAGCAAACTCATCAGATAGTATATTAATTCAACCTTTTAAGATGCAACAAAAGATTTAGAAGTCAGCATGATAGTAGATCAGTTAAAATAAAGAAAACTTAAGTAGAGGCCACAAAATTCACCTTTTGTGCAACTGTATCATCTATGTTGACAAAATACTGCCTGAAAGTAAGAGTATAGGTAGTTACAGTTAATAAAAATTTCCACTTTACGATAAGCTTTCTCATATAACTTTAAAAATAAGTACAAAATCCATCCCTACACACATACTTGACAACTGAATATGCTGGATTATCCTGGAGAGGATTTGGATACGTCTGCAAAGAAAAAAGAACATAGAAAAATAGATAACTCTTAGTAAAAGATTTACCAACTTCACGAATATAAAAATAACCACAAAATAATTTTTCGGCATAATCGGAAATAATTCTTAAGAAAAATGAATCATCCAAAGACTTCTTCGTCCAAATTCAAGGCAATATCTATTCAGAATCGCATACAAACTTATTTATATCAATAACTGCAATCAGCAGTTCAATTCCAAGCTAAAGTAAATCAATTAACTTCTAGGTTAAATTAAGTATCTGCAGCGCAGGGAGAGCTTTGCTTCACCGTTAGCAGGAAACAAACCAAGGGCGGCGCAATTTTAAGATTAACCCTCATGCAAAATCCCATCTTCCATTTCAAAATCGAAGAAGGGGAGAAATATGAAAATCAAACCATCTACGCATACAACAATTAATATTCAGAATCACAAAACAACAAGACGTAAAATCAACTCATCAAAAAGAAATTTGCAGAGAACTCACAGGCAAGTCAGGAATATAATCCACAAAGTGCGGCACATCCTCCAATACATAACCAGCTTCTCCATGAACAAGCTTCGGCTCATTCCTAAGCTCCGGTGCCATTGCCGTACCCAATGGAAACCTAAATTTCCCGTCAGCACCCGCGTTAATGGAAGAAAGCGAGCTCCTTAGACCGAATGTGTGGTATGATTTCTGAGAAACAGAAGCATTAGAGGCGGATTCCATTATTTGATATTAGAAGAAGAAAACAGGCGGAGGAGATTTCAAATTAGGAAAGTTTTCGAGAAAGAGAAAAGCTCGTACTTTTTTATAGGCGATGAGAAAAACTCTCCGGCTCCGGCTGAGTTGTTTGCCGTTGGGTTCTCGTGAATTGGAACGTGAGATGATTGAGACCTTTAAGAGAAGGCGGAATTGGGGAAGAAGAGGAAGAAAAAGACGAGGAGGGAATTCAGCAGAGATTTTTCCGTTGTCCGAACACCTTGGGTGTTTTATTTACACGTGTGTGATTTCCCGTGCTTTTCTTGTAATGGTGATTGGTGGACCACATAAATTATAAATATTAAAAAAAAAAACTTCTATATATAAATTTATTTGAGCGTAAAATACTAAAATTACGCTATGCCGGTGATATAACTTATAATTATATTGAGAACTTATCTGATAATAGCTTGATTTTAATCAGTTTAGACTTTCTTAAAATAAATTAAAAAATATTATATATATATATAATTTATTTGGTCAAATATAAAATTTTGATATAATTTTCAGATTTTATAATATTTAATTATTGTGCAAATTATTTTAGAAATGACTTTTTCTTATAATCTAATTTTTTTACGCAAAATATTATGAACACTTTGATATGAATTTATATGGGCATAAGATAAGTATTGAGAAGTATTATTAAAAACTTCTCAAGAAATCAAATGTTATCTCAATTTTATATTATTATAGTCTAAATAGGTATAGGTATCATAACGAGAAAAAATTTTTACATAGTCGAAAATACTTCAAATTTAATGCCATCAAAGCACTAACATATCTAGACTATGTCAAAGGATCAAAATGTTATATTTGAATTGTTTGATAGTGTAAAAAAATTTTGACAAAAAATGACTTCAATTTTCCATCCAGAAATCTATAAATACTCCCCGTTTTCATACATTTAAGAGATGAGTTTTTGTGGAGAAGATTTTTGGAGCTGGATGATTACAAAGCTCTACTCATCACCCCTCGACATCATTCAACAATAAACATTTGTGTTTGTCATCATCGCAGGTCGATACCATCTGCTGGTCAACGTTGACACCCATTATCATTATTAGCCAATATTTGTCGGCCATTATGTATAATGTCATCCTCTTATCCCCTCATAATGATCCTCAAAATTAGCTATAGTTTGAGTAATCATCTCCATTATACATGTGAATAATAATTCTTTAAAATATTAATATTGGGGCTTTCTAGTTATCTATAAAAGCTTGAGAGAAAAATGCTACTTCCGAACATTCCATATGTTTTCTCTTGGGAGCACAATATACTCTTTGGTAATGATCCTTGATTATAATTATTTTGGAAAATAAAACTTATGTTTTGCATACTCTGGATATTTATTTTACATAATTGAATGATTAGTGGCTCTGGTGTAATTGCATTTGTGGATGTTTTTTTTTTTTTTATGAAACACACAGAGGAGCCTATGCGTTGACTTAAAAAAGTATTACAAGTCCTTAATAAATTACCAGCTCTCTAAAAATACAACATTTAAAATAAAACAAATGAGCCAATGATTCAATCTATTACAAGAAAAAAATAATTAAAGCAACAAAATAGGCAATCCATAAGGAAGAGAAGAGAACCTAGGCCACCAAAGAGCTAAACCACATAAGGAAGGCAAGAGAGCCAAAACAACAACAATCTGCTCTAGCAAGCAGAAACAAGATAAAGCCACAGTAACCTGCCAACAATCAACCTGCACAAGAGGAAAAACAAGAAGAAAGAAGACAACTAAAATAAAAGGGAAACCACAACAGTACCTGCTATCCAACACCCCGGACAAAAGAGCCGAAACAACTAGGAAAGGATCCATCTGACACTAATCATCCAAACCCTAAATAAGCCAAGAGACAAAACCAACATGCCAGCTACGCCCACCAGGCAAATCCGACCAACCACATCCATTCCAAAGAAAAAGGGGACCAATAGCATAACAATAAAGGAAAATTATTTCTTTTTGAATTTCCTCCGACTACGTTTACCAATATTCTTATAAAAACCTTCCTCGGTGTTACGAATAACATTTAAGCCATAAATTCTCAAAGAATCATCCACATTCATATATATTTCCTCCCCAACATCCCAATTAGTTGATGAATCACACTCAACTAACCAATCACCTTGATAAGGATCAAAATCCTTTGATTTGAATTCTGCATGTGCAAGCAACACATCATTAGCAACAAGTGAAATATGAACATCAATGAGAGGCACTTCATCATTCACATCCAAATCATTAGATCGCTAAATCAGTTTAATAGAAACTAGAGATGAGAAATTATAAGCATTAACAATGTCCATAGAAGGGTCATTCACCCGATTAAATTCATAATACCCAACATCCATAATATGGTTAATATCAGAAACAACAACAGCAGTACGAGGCCCCATCTGGCCCAAACCAGCACCCAAACCAGCAACAATAGTGGGTTCAAACCCATCAATTTGACAAGCCGAAAATTCATTAGGAGAAGTAGTGTCATTTGCAACATTAACAGGAGTCAAGATGGGGCTAGTTAAATGATTCACCATACATTTGGCACTCATATCAGCATTAATACTCTCTCTATTAACGCATGAAAAAGCGATCAAAATAACATTAGGCATAGGAGCAGTCAGACTAATATGAATTACCCCACCATCTTGTTCGACATTAACATTGAGGCAAGCCTCATTAATCCCATCATCAATCCGCACAGGAACCAAAGAATCAATGGCAGGGGTCAATAAAGGAAAAGTGGAAAAGGGTTATGAGTTACAATTTTTTCCTGAAAAAATGTTGCATTCTCCACAATATCAATAACATGCTTAACAACAAAAATATGGGTCAATAAAGGGTCAAAAACCATAGAATTATGAATCTCAATTGCTTCATGAGCATTCACATCAGCAAAAACTCACTGAGCAACAGTGTCATTCCCCACAATTTGAACAACAAGCTTAAAAATGATCAGAGGAGCCATATCTAAGTGGGGGTGAAGAATACGACAATTAATTTTACCATGTTATTGAGATTTACAATTATCACAAAATGAGGGAAAATCCTACATAACAACTTACTAAATGTAACCAAGATTATTAGGATCAATCCAGACAAACTCAGGGTTGGATTTAGAAATATCCAATTCGACAAGGACCCAAGCAAGAGATTCTTACGATCCTACAATAGTAGTACTATCAATTTTCAAAGGATGATCGAATAATGAGCGTAAATCGTGAATAATACAAGGGGAGAAAAGATGTGGCCTAAGGTTTGGGAACGAAACCCAAATCAGAGTGATTGGAGACTCCACAGTAATATAAAAAAATGGCGATCACTTAAACAATTTCATGTAGCAATTGGAAGCAAAATAAGAATTATGAGAAAATACTCTACTATAATCCATATCATTAACCTGCTTGATTGAAACATGCCTTGGATTCAAAATAGTCACAGAGCATTCACCGATCAACTTAAGGTTAAAGTTTACCAACCAAAGCATACTCGAAATGTTGAGCAAGAGTCAGGATTTCTGCTTTGGAAATCCACAATGATGGAAGCCCGTGATGTGTAGTTATTTTTAGACCAGAAAAATCAATCGATGAAGAAGCCCTAGACAAAATATTCAAGAAAGGAACATGAATTTTTCCGCCTATTAAGGAAACTACGATCATTTAGACGATTAACTGCCATCCGAGCCGAGAAACGGCTGGAGTTGGAATAATCAAATAAGAATAACCAAAAGAAAAACAGAGAGAAGAAGAAGAAGAAACCAAGAGAAGAAATCCCAAAGAAACGAGGTCGTGGAGTGGCCAAAGAACAGGGGAGATCGAGAGTGGCTTCTAGGGCCAAAACCCTAACAGATCGCCTCGAGATAGAGAGAGAAAAGATGTGACAGCATTTATGGATGATTAACTTAGTTTGATTAAGGCATTAAGGTTAAATTCTTTTTTACATCTTGGGTCGTCACAGAAGATTCCATGAATTTGCTCTCATGAGAACATTTAAAGAGTCTCGAGGAGGGAAAACTTGAGCAATAGTCAAAATATCCACCTAATCACCTACACATACATGATTACACCAAGGGTCCAAGTAAAGAGAGAAACAACTGATAGGAGAAATGTGAAAAGTATAACAACTCTTAGTCTTAACAATAATTTTAATATTAAAAGCCTAATATTTGATATGATTGATATTTCAAGTTTACCAAAGGGACCCATATTTGGCTATGCACCAAACAACAATCAAGCTATCATTGTTATATAATCTGTGAATAAGGAAGCATATGTAAGCATGAAATAAAAATTGAATGGAGGATAAACCCAGACAAATAAAATTCTTAAGCAAACACGTCTTTTTCCATGACAAAGGATGTAAATTCTTGGAATTTATGTCTTTATAGAAAAGAAATCTGACACATACTTTGTCGAAGAATTTGTATTTCGATAATGAGCTCCTTTCTCATGAGGCCAAATTTCTGCAACTTGTTGAGTTCATTTCTAATTTGGATAGCATTTAAGCTGATATGCAAGAAGATATGACAATGTCATTGAAAGTGTAAACCCCACAAAAATGCCATTTAAGACTTGGCACGTTTTTCAAAGCGTTGTGACGAGTTTTAAGTGAATAACTCAAGGTTACCGAATTTCGACGGGATTAATTTTATAAAATTCTATGTAAAATTCTAAACAATTTAATATATAGAACTCATATGTAAATTTGCTTATTTTGGAAGATCAAAATATTTGAAGTTAAGATATACCCAAAGTACCCCTAATGTTTGTTCATGCATCGGTTGTTTAAGTGAGGGCAAATTAGACCGTTTGCCATCTCAAGGGAATTAAAGGGATCAAATCCATTCGGTCCCTCATTTATTCCATTCAGCCGAACCGAACGAAATAGAGAGGTAGAGGCGCGCGGAAGGGAGAGGGCGGACGCACGCAAGGTGACTGGCGGCGACTCCGGCGACTTCTCCAGCAAGATTCTTGGAAGGAATTTGTAGGACAAAGCCTAAGGAATACTAAAGTGCATTTCTAAGAAATCCTTATGTTTACCATAGATTTTTGAGATGAAGAATTTAGGGTTTTGTGGAATAATGGAATTTTTCTTTAAGAAATTAAGAGAGAAGATCTAGGGAACGATTTCATACATGAGAATGTGCTTTTGTCTAAGGATTTTTAGGGTTTCAAAAATTAGGGTTTTTCCCAAAT